TGGATAAGTCGGTTTTAGCAGATAGTGTCACAATTGACAATTCACAGTACATGAAATGCGTCTAACTCTCCGCCTGCTAAATTATAGTATCCTCAGGCTCGCGGCGGGCTGGAGTACATTTTCTGAGACACGTCACAAAGGCTCTTATACCAAACAATATCTTTGCTCAAGCGGCATTTGAGGTGAAGCAGGCCTCCACACCTTAACATAACTATGTTATTACGTTATATACTTATTACCATGTAATGGTACGTCATATTACCTGTTGCTAAACGCCCGAACTTGGGTTGTTACAATGGATATGTACATTTAGTTGACACATACATTGCGTACAATTTGTATAGTTGTGTACAACCTATAGTTTACTATTGCAGAGCGCTGGTAGTATGTTGTTGCAACTAGCTTTGAACATCTACGATATGTATTCTAAATATTTACTTCGACGAGGACGGAACATAATTACATGATCAACGAACTTAACTGTAAGTTATGTTCGATCTTAATTATGTGAAGTCCTCGTCGAAGTAAATAGCTCCCTACTCCCTATGTATTGCCCAATTGTCGCAACAACTTGGCTTTGAAGAAAATGAATGTTTATAGTCGGCCAAAGGGGAGGAAGGTAGGGGGAACGGGCGCGGTGCCGCTTTCTTTCGCTGCGTGCGTGCTTTGAAATCGTGGGGTTTGGTACTGCTAACGAGTGTACTACGATATGTATTCTAAATTTCTTCACATAATTAAGATCAAACATCACTTACGGGTAAGTTCGTTTGATCATGCAATTAATCTATACATAATGACGGCTTACTTCTCAAACTAGCTAAGTGATGTAATATTGAGTGTCGTGCTTAATACACAAATCAATATAGTTTATCATGCGAAATCATTGTGTACGCTTAGCATGTGCAAAGTACGTGTAGCCGGACGGGTATTCTCGTTATTAAATATGCTAGGCTTTTCAAGTTGCACAGCAAATATGAACTCATTTGCACCTGCTTTCAGTGTACTAGGTATTGTTGTTTGTCTCGCGGCTTAGCGTTTTTGGAAATCTCTGGTCGACTTCAAAGCGACTATTAAGCGGTTGTTGTTTTTCTTATCGCTGTCTGTGATTTTATTTACATCTAAAGTGTTGAGTGTTATTGATACGATGTTGTGGAAGTTTTCGAATCAGCTCCCAGTTTACTGGCGTTGATTTAACTAGAAACATTATTGGAACCCCCTTGGACTTATCGGAATTTGTAAAAAAATGTAAAGCTATACCGTCAGTTAGAATGTGCAAAATTCGAAGGGCATCCTGAAAGCACGATTTTCAGTGCCTTATAAACAGCACTTGACAAGTAATCGAGCAAAATTACGTAACTATAATGGGCTGCTTGTACGTGCAAGACTGACAAAGAATAGGTATTATAGTAATGGAACACTGATGATTTTATGATAAAATCATTGATTCCCTAGCTACCTATTATCAATAAAGAAAGCTAACCATCTTCCAGTTAACGTAGTGTACAGATGCTTATATGAATGTCGCATTATCTTTCCAGGTACTGTCTGCCCTGCGTTTCTTGCTAGTGGAAGCTAGCACCTTGACGTAGACAGAAATCATTCTATAACCCGCGTCTGGTCATCTCTCTCAACCCAGAGTATGTTGAAACATTGAAAAAGGCACCGTTGCCAGGTGCCCTGCGGATTGAACTTAAAGCATTTGCACAGCAAGTTGAATACCTGAACTATACAAGGGTTTGACGTACGACGTGATTCGCTAAGGGTTTTGAAAATGTATATCTCTTTTAGGCTAATGAACGAGAATGCCGGAGCTGATATGTTTGTTATTATTTAAGTGACCATCTGTGGATAATTTTTTTGAAATGAGGAAGTATGATACCAGATAGAAACCGGGCGTGGTTTTATTACCTTCCCAGAAGCTGTATTTCTTCAGCCATCCACCTCCTAAAAAACTATGTCCGCAAGGCATCACAATTACCGAACTCACTATTAAATCAAACGCATTGCTTATTGTTCTCTGGTGATAGGAGAATCGAGAGGAAACGGCATCGCCGACTTGCATCAGTCTCATCTTTCTAGACGAAGTTAACCATGCAACAAAACATTTAATGCTATGAAAAAAATCAGAACATATCGCACGACATATAATGCTGGCAAAAACGGATGCATTCATAAACTTATTTCTAAACGTCAAAACATACATTATAATCCATCGGGAAGGTACTAGAGCAGTTTCTACTGGCTACTTTACTCTCCCGGAATGACCGCCTGACGCTCTGAAGTCGCTTGAATGACCAAAGTGTTTGCCCAATTTTATGTAAATCGGAATACGTTTTGCCAGTGGCGTAATGGGTTGGAGAAAGGATGCAAATGGAGGTCAGGCCTCAAGCATTGTTTTTACCGTTTTACATACTACAACGTTGATTATATGGATAAATTTAACAGAAAACGAAAGGTTAACAGCTCTATTCATACAAAATTAGACCTCTGAAGAGATACCCGAAATTCGTTTACATATATTAAGATAGCCCACTCGACGCCTCTATAGTGCTGGAAAGTTATACGGTCTAGCGGCGCTTTCATATGCATAGAAGGTTGACTACAGGATCAGATTTAATATCCGGCTTTTCACAAACGCTTAAAGAGATAATAGATACTTAGCGCGGCTTTAGATATTACTCTTAGTAATCCACTTTATCGCCTGGTCAACAACTGAGACGATAGGTGAACAAGACAGTACGAAAAAAACTCAAACAGCCTATACAGGATGATTAAAAAAACAATGGCAGTATTTACAGTGCAGAAACTAGATTCAAAAATGACAGGAAAGATTCCTAAGATGCTCCCTCACTACAAGGTATTGAAGTAATAATTTCAAGATCATAAAAATTATATCTTTGGGGTGGAAAAAGTATTAACAAAAATTGTTGACATTCTAATTACACTAGTGGCGTAAAAATTGGGAGACTTTGCCTCTATAGAAGAAATGCGAAACATTTTCTATACAACGGACCTCTGAAACGTCTGTTGCATTTTTAGGCAAGATATTCAACTTCACAAGCTGGTTTGGATTTCCGAAATACAGTTTGCATAGTAAGCCTAAATCGTTTCTGATTTAAAAATGTACTAAAGTTAGTTTGCCATTAAAGGCTTCATATTTATGTAGTACGTTAGGGGAGTAATCCTATCACTCCACAGCATTATTCGAGGAATATTCGTGTGTTGTCCTTGAATAGTTTCATCAGCGCTGTATGCTAGTAAGGAGGCATTTTAGAATGTATGTTCATAATTTCGTTTATGTTTTTTAGAAATCCCCAGTTACTGTAAAAGTATTGCTAATTTTTTTTGAATCACCACATATGGTATAAATTGTAGTCCGGAATCTCATATACCACGATATTTCTCCCACATATTAATTAATCCCAAATATGCATGCTGCATATTACTTGGGATCTCAGAAAAGGACCATACGAATAGGATGCATTGATAAAATGATGCGTCGGTATAGAACAGAAAAAGGTACGCAACTGGACCCGCATGGTTATTATGTAAAAACCTTTAAAACATCAAAAAAAAACCTATAAAATGTCATCTTGCAAACTAGGTAGTTTTTAGGGTGCAAACAGTCTTTCCACGTTTACCCACCAGGATCTTTGTGAGCGTCCATCTATGGAGAAATAGCCCAACTATACTAATTGTTGGTTGCATATGTTTTGGGAAGCCGAGTAGTCTATAGTTTCCATCTCTGAGAAGAAAGTTGGTTGAATAGTAAGATCTTATCTGGATGATTGCGAGTATTTGTCTGCATGTGTACAAAATCAGTGATATGTGAGAAAATCATTACTGAATATGCTGCCAATGAAGTATATCTGTTAGCTGTGCCCGACGGATCATTTATTATATACGAGCCCCATCCACTTCAGTTGGCCCAACTATTAAAATCTTAGTTTTTTCTTATCAAACACAAATAATAAAAATGTAGCAGGGTGTTATAGGTTTAAAATATTAACAATAAATATTTTGATAATATATAGTAGAAAACACCAACTTTATCACTCCCTAATCAAATTTGCAGCATAAAAATAACACATGTTGCAATTACAGCATATCAACCTATTTTCATTTCAATGCAAAATAAGTCTATAACGCATAGGTGGCTGTGAAAATAAAAGCCATGACAATTGTTTTTATTGATCACAGCTGTCAGAATACGTTTACAATAGTTTTGGGCAGTTAAGGTTGTTAAGGTTTTCAAAATGGGTAGAGGACAGGTTATTAGTGAGAAAATTCGGTTAATGATAATTAAATTTTTTAATTCTGGGAAATCAAACTCAGAGATTGCAACTTTGTTAGTCCTGTCGCGGTACAGTGTGATAAATATTGTTAGAAGATATAACGTAACTGGTTCAGTTAATATTAAGCCACGATATGTGAAAGAAAGGTAATATCACAAATGCCGACCGAATAGCATTAACCCTGCATCAGTCGCGCAATCTAAAATTGAAGACACAAGTGGATAAAGGTGTCATGTAACATTTTTTCAAAAACGTGTTTTTTTCGTTCAATAGGCTTAAGATTTGCTTTTCTTTCATTATCAAGTCTCGTTATTATACAATATTTGTGAATTACCTAGATATTCAAGTGATAAAGGTGTTATGTACCCATATTTTTGCCTTTGACAGTGGATAAAGGGGTCAAGGTAACATGACACCTTTATCCACTGTCAAGTGTAAATTTTCTGTCGAGAATCCACAGCATGACATTTGAATTTGAGGTTAGGTATGTCATTGTTTTGGATTTTATTATACAATGGTTATGTGTAAAAGTGCTGTTTTGAAACTGTTGGTTTACTAACATAATATATTCAGTGATGTCTAGAGGAAAATACATTTTAAAGATTCTAGAGGATCAACAAAAAGCATGTACTACAAGACCAGGTAGAAAATTAGTGGCTTTTATTATTTTGTTGTTATTTTGTACTGATTTTGCATTGATTTTAGAAACTAATTACGATGGATCAATTAGTCCCATGAGAAGTTTTGGAAATAAAGAGAGCGAAAATATAGACAATAACCCTGAGACGTTTCCTTGTCTTAATATTTGTTCTAAACCTAGCACAAATAAAAATGATGCAGAATTCATTAAAAATCTAACAGCTAATCCTCGGATATCAGTTATTCCCAGTACCAGTAGAGGTATGGACGCAATCAATATTTATTTTAAAAGAGGTAATTAATTAGTTTTATTGTTTATTTTTAGATATATACCAGTCTCCATCGTCTCATAAAGATTTCAGCGATGAGGATGTCACAAGCTGCAGTGAATATATCTCCGAAACCGAATCGAGTAATGAATCAGATAATGAGCTGTTATCCAACGTTTGAAACAAGCTATTATCTCAAACCAGGCATGACTCAAACCAAAGCTCAAGTACTCAATTAACTCCGGAGAATCGATCTATATCGCATATTACTGCTGATATTGGATTGCCCAATTTAAAAGATGACCATTTTTTGGAAGAAAAAGAGAAAGAGTGAAAAAGAAAATATTTCAGTTGAAGGAGAAAACATCTAAGAAACGTCTTAGGAATCCAGATCAGTGGAGTAGAAGAAAATCTGCAATTTTAAGAGCAAGAGGAGAAGAGTATCTTTCTCAAACAGGGAAAGTTATGTCAAAAAAAGAAATAAATTCTGGATTGCTGTGCAAAGAAAAATGCAGATTACATTGCTCTGACAAGTTTCTTTTAGAAGATAGAAAAGCAATTTTAGAAAAGTATTATGCATTAGATATAAACGCAAAAAATGCTTTGTTATTTAAAAGCATAAACATCAAACCGGTTGCAAGACATAGGACTAATGTAAAAAAAGAAAAAACATATTCTTTTAGTTATTCCATTACTTTTAATAGAAAAACAGAAATCATATGCCGAGGTGCACTATGTTCTCTTTATCAGATTAGCCGAAAGAAAATTGAACTTATGCAAAGAACACTGAAAAAAGGAATGAATGCTCCAACACCTGACAAAAGAGGTCAACACAAAAACAGACCTCATAAAATTAAAGAGGATGTCATTGCGTGCATTATGGATCATATCCAAAAATTCCCCTCAGAAGAGTCACATTACTCACGTAATAAAAACTGTCATAAAAAATATTTGTCACCTATCCTTAATATGGCTACAATGTATAAGTTGTACATCGAAGACTGTGAAAACAGAAAACTGGATGATTCTTTCAAAGTGACACTTTCTTCCTATGCTAAAATATTTTGTACAAAGTTCAATTTATCTTTGGCCACCCTAGAAGTGACACGTGTAGTGTTTGTGATTCAGGGCAAAACACAGATCTGCATACAGAAAACTTTAAAGCTGCATTTGAATCACAGAGACGTGATAGAGAAAGATCATCAATGGAAGAAAATACCTGCTATATAACAAACTATGGATATGCAACAAACGATGCCACTACCAAAATTATCTACCAGTAAAGCTTTTTACCTTCGCCAAATGTGGTACTATAATTTTGGTATCCATTGTGTAACTGCTAGTGGATCAAAACCTTTTTTTTTCAATTGGACCGAAGATGTAGCAAAACGAGGAAGTATTGAGATAGCTAGTTGTTTACTCCGATTTTGTCAGCAGCTCAAAGAATCTCACAAAAATATTAATCATCTAATCATTTGGTCTGACTCTTGTGCAGGCCAAAATAAAAACTTCAATATTATCAGTCTCTATCAATTTTTAATTTTAAATGGAACATTGAAAGTCATCGATCATAAGTTTCCAGAAGTTGGACACAGTTACCTAGACTCAGACAGAAATTTTGGCAGAATAGAAAAAAAACTTAGAAAGGTTGAGAATATCTATGTACCCGAACAATACCGTGAGCTAATTAAATCTGCAAGTACGAAAAACTGTGCTACCCTCGATATGGAAAATTACTTCTATGACTTTAACGAACTCTCAGGGAAGTTGCATATTTGGAATAAAAAGACTAATGATATGGGACAAAAAATCTGTTTCAGAGATAGTGTCAAATGGATTAGAGTTGATGAGTTCGGCAGCTACTTTTATAAAGAAAATCTGGATGAATATTCACCTTTTCATAAAGTAAATCTATTTAAAAAAGGAAGTAGGGTGATACGTAAGGAGGACAATATTACACTACGCAGAATCACAGAGAAAAAAGGTGGGCTTACTGCAGAAAAGTTGAGTAACTTGCGTGAACAGTTAAAGTTTGTCAAGAACGAGTATAAATGGTTCTATGAAAAAATTTTTGAAGAAAACGAAGAGAATCCCAAGAAAAAAAGAAAAGCAATTGGTTCATTTTGATGAGTTTTGAGATTTTTGTTACTTTTGCAATAAAATACCAATGTTTAAGTACATAACACCTATTTTCATTTCCCGTCAACACAAGGTTTTGTCAACTTCTTATGGATAAAGGTGTCATGTACTTTCAAAGTACATTTTCTCTCAAAATATCAACATGTCTTCAAGTTAAACAAGAGACAAAGAAAATATTTAATGCTGTTTAAAAAAACATTTATAGAAAAGGCCTGAAATTGAATGCATAAAAAAATTCCAATCGGAAATCTTTAAAGTGATTTTTCTCAGAATTATTATTTTGTGACATGACACCTTTATCCACTTGTGTCTTCAATTACATGAGCGGTCGCATCGCGGCACTGAGTGCCGCATCTGGACAATGACTTATTTTGTATTATTATAGAGAAAACATTGACTAATAAGTTTGTAATTAAACAGAATAGACATTTAAAAAATCAGTTTATTTATAATATTGCGCTCTTATTTATTTAAACATTCAAAACTAAAACATTATTCTATAGCGAACATAAAAGATAAACACTGAATTTTTAAAGTGAAAATGGTAACGTAGCCACCAAGAGACTTAATTCTAAAATAAATCAGTCTTCCTACATCGGGGTATACAAACAAGTATCACATTGAACTGTTTTTTTGCAATGGCTTTTACATACAAACTGATAACGTGAGTCACATCTAGCAGTAGTTTTATTATTTTTATGCGCACTACAAACATGACAACGTCCACTACCATTTTGCTTTATTGCAGGTACCTCATCAACAGTAGTTTGGTATCGCGAAAGAAATTCTCTAATGTCTTTTGGAAATGTAATTATTTTCGCTCGTTCCGCCATATGATGTTCCATTAGAGACACGCCTAATTCGTTTAAGAATTTTCGTCTTCTAGGAGACTCTTCTGTAGGTTTAGTATTATTGAATCCAATTTCAGCATTTATCCCAGTAATATCAAGAGTGCGGAAAAATATTGCAAGGGGCCATCGTCTAGTGGTTCTCTGGGTTGTATAAGAGGCACATTTTTGATCGACAGTATCGACACCACTCTTCGTCCTGTTATAATCCAAAATGATGGTTGGCTTATTTGTTGCCTTGTCAAGCTCTCCTTTGTCATCAACAGAAGAAAGAATTATCACAGCCTTATTCTTTTTGGGTACGTAAGATACCAAATTAATTTCGTCCTGAAATCCGAATAATGAAGAACCAACTATTCGTGCTTTATTCGGAAGGAATTCCGGGGGAATTTCCTTTTTATTGCCCGAACCCACATCGCCCCCGAAACGGATGAAGCATTTCATCAATGGTAATGAATTCCCCAGGGATGTAATTATTCATACAATTCTTTACAAAATCGGAGTAAATATCCCGTATTGCAGCTAATTTATCTATATTTTGGAGTTCTTTCCTGGTGTTGATATTGTCAAATCGTAAAGCACGTAACAGGAATAAAAATTTTCTGTAACTAAAAGCAGCCCGAAGTCTAATAATTCCAGTTCCATCTGTACTCCACAGTTCTCGCACATCTACACGATTTCCTTTCTTTACTGCAATTATATATAACGCGCCGAATAATGCCTGGATCTCCGTGGACGAAGTTATTTTGCAATCTCTATCTCTTGCAAAATTTTGTTTTTTATTTTCTGTATATAATAAATTTGTGCATGTTACGATATTGTCAATCATCTCATTGGAAATAAATATATAAAATGACTCTAAATGATTTGACACAGTTTTCGCAGCTCCTTTTGAACCTGGTAATATCTTGATTATATTTTTAGACCTAGTTTTACTGGTAAAACTCACAGGAGTACTTTTCCAAACATTCTCTTCGTCCTTTCCAATGTAAAAGAACTCATCTCCTTGATTCTCCAATTCGTGTGTATAGTTCGAGTCCTCAACGGCAGATTGCTCAGATTCGCTGTCGTAAACATTATACTGAATAACTTCTTCTTCTCCTTCGCTTTCATCTGCAAAGTCTACTATATCCTCATCGAAATCAGAGAAATTGTCGACGATCTCTTTCAGCTCTCGTTCAGTGAGTGGTCTCTTTTTATCCCTAAAATATCAAAGATTATATATTATTCCACAATCCCAGGTTGATAAAACACACCAATTCGGAAAAAAATAACAATAATAATGAGCTATAATGGTTTTGTAATATATTTTAGCGATATCTATATCAAACTAATAACCAAACATAATACTTACATGATCGGTCGCGTGGCGGTACGGAGTACCGCAAACTGCGCCTTCTCACTAAAAGTCTCGACTTACACTAAAAGGAAGCATTTCCATCTCCGTTCCCGTAGGTACACGTTGCAAAATATAGCCAACGAAGCATACCTCGCGATACAGTGGCGTGCTTCGAAAAATTATTCAGTAACTAGAATAAATTAAAAAAACGCGGCACGGAGTACCGCAGCGCGACCGCCGAAGGGTTAAGAAGAATAATCGCGAAAAACAGGCGTGCCAATTATTTACAATTAAGTGCTCTGTGGAGTGACGCTGGGTTTAGCACTTGCAAGGTAAGTTTTCTTATAAAAAAAGGTGAAGTAAAAACCCTAAAGTTGCACAACTTGTTTATAGGCCAAAGAAAAGCCACTATTAACTCCACTGCAAAAGAAAAATCGGCTCAGATGGGCTAAAGAACATAGACAGTGGACACCTCAACAATGGTATGCAATACAATGGAGTGATGAGGCCCGATTCGAAGTTTGTGTTGGTGACAGTCGCAGTAGAGTTATTCGCAAAAAAATTAAGCATTCCATGTTGACTGTCTGAAGAGAAAAGTCAAATTTCCAGCATACATTATGGTCTGGAGCAGTATGTCATCAAAAGGAGTAGGAAAACTTCATTTTATTGATGGAAATGTGGATGCAAACAAATATTTGGCAATTTTAGAAAAATCGCTTTTACCAGTGATGGAAGAATGTTTGACATCCGGCCAAGATTTTGTGTTTCAGCAAGATGGTGCAGCGTGCCATACCTCAAAAAACGCTATAAAATGGATGGAAGAAAATAATGTACCACTTTTGAAATGGATTTCTAGCAGTCCAGATCCGTCACCTATTGAAACTTTGTGGCACGAGATGAAAAAGGTTCGACGAGAACATCCTGCTCGTACAATCACCGAACTGAGACAAAAGCTTCAAGAAATATGGGATTGTTTTACACCAGATTTTTGCCAAAACTTGGTTACCACTATGCCCCAAAGAATTTCAGCCGTAATAAAAAATAAACGTGATGTTACCCAATGGTAATCTTTCAATTGTTGCTTTGTTAACTTCGCGCATTTATTCTCACATTGTTTATTTGTTCAGATGTTCTATTAGTTATAGGTCTAAGTGATTTCAAATATGATTTTTTTACGACTAGAGTGTCTCTAAAATGTTTTTGAAAATATAAATTGTTTTAGAAGTAAATAGTTTCGTCATGTTTAGTTTATAAAGGCATATTTTGGTACAAATATTGAAGTGGGCCAACTGAATTGGGAAGGGGCTCGTATGTTGTCCTTTTTTTTTGAGTTTTCAAAAATTTTGAGGAGAATTACGGAAAATGCATGTATATGACTAGTAATTCGACAGTGTACAGTAAATATAATTATTTCTCATCTCTCTCATTTTTTAAATTCAGCAAAGCAGGTGGGTTGATAAGGGTTATTTTTCGCCCATAACACACTCAAAAATAAAAAGTTAGATTCCAGACTATTATTGAATTTATTTGTGAACTTCAAGACGTGTATTTTCTCATTATGTAATACGGTGTAAATAATGTAATATGCTTCAGAAGTTATTGCCAAGAAATAGAGTATTTAGCGCTTTTTGTGCATTTTTGTTGTTTTCGGTCATTGAATCATGTTTTCCCTACTAGGCGTTCCATGAACCACATTATCTTTAATCCTCATTATAGGCTTGTACATGAGTATTCAATTATTTTGGTTCAGTGAGCACATCAGTCCAAAAACACGTAATATGTGCCGCGGGAGAGTGTGAGTCATGCTGTAATCGCTGCGTGTTCAGACATGATTTTTCGCGCTCGAAAAGTAAAGGTATAGAAACTGTGTTGTGCTGTCGCGTTCAACGTTTATTGAAAGAATGAAGAAGTCAAGAAGAATATTAGTGAAAAATATATTAAGAGCCAATTTCACCAACAACAGTCCGTTATTCTCCACCTATAGGGTAACAGCCCATCAAATACAGCGAATGAGCTTCAAGTTCCAATCAACAAATTTGAGCAACCAATAGCTTTGACATGTTGAAAACAAAATATTGTAGTAGTAGTATGAGATGGCATCATGTCATTGAAACATCACCAGCTTATTGAATATTAAGAAATTACATATAATTCGGTCAAAATTGAAACAAATGTTTGATTTTTGAATAAAATTCATGTTTTAATTACCATTGTTGATTTTTTATTCATGATAATATTATTTTCTTCAATTGATATGCGATTTTACTGATTCAAGATCATATACTGGGTGTTCTTTCCTATCAACCTCTTGCAGATAGCAATTAAGCACCTACTAGATGACAGGCTCTACCAAAAGATATTGCTCGTTTCCAAACATTCACTCATTTACTTGCCGTTCATCGGAACCATTATGACACCTTAGATTGCTAATCCCACAAAACGATTCTGGTTTTTTGATATCCATACATCCATAAAGTTGAATATTTTTCGTTGTTCAGGAACTGAACAAACATCCACACTATATTCAGAGCGATTAATAAATTACCAAATATACGCCTTAAAGCTACCAACAAACCTAAAACCTGCAAAAAGAAACTACAAATTTGCCATATTTTATATTATTAGACATTATTTGACTACAGCTGATTATTGCTTTTCAAGGAGTGACACATGTGTGGGATCTGTCAACTCTTGGTACCAGTTACAAAACATATTATACTCTGAAGGTTTAATTCCATGCTATTCAATGACAACACTGTGTGGTTATCGCCGGCCATTTTGTGGATGCGACAGTGTTGCCAGATTGTGCATTAATATCCCGGTTCACCCACCTGGTCCCAGTGGAGTAAGTTCCGTGAACTGTTGAAATATACTCTACTATGCGTTATAATACTATTCGTGACATTGTTCCCAAAATCATTGCACAACACTTGAAAAAATGCAAATGAAAATATAAATCATATGTCACAGTGTATGTGCACTGATTGCAACGGTTAGATGATACCAAAAATATTTTCATAAATAGGAGATCTTTCTCATTCCGAATCGAACAATCTACCAAAGATGCTTATAATCATGATACCTAGTAAATTTTCACGAAAAAATTCAAAACCAGCAAATGTAAAAGATTCATGTCGCACCCTCCACCACGGGACGTGATCGTCGTTAGACTTGCAACCCTGCGAGTGACAGATAGATATCCCCGCCAGTCAAATAGACAATCAAACAATAAACATTACTAGTTTTTTATGATTTTTGGACTTAAAAGACATTATATATGAGACATTTTTCATAATTTTTTGTCTATGTCCATAGTAATTGTATTACGCATCAGGGAGATGTAGGGATGGACACGTCTTACACATATTATCTGTGTTTTAGGATGGAGAGTACATAATGTTTTTATTACTTTGAAGAAATTCATTAGCCCATAAATTAATAAATGATTACTATTATGATGTAAAGGAAGATGAGGAATTGGATGGAATGTATTTTGTATTCTATTTTCTTGCAAAATACAAACAAATCCACACTATTCGACAGGTATGTATGATAACACTCAGTATATTGAGCTTGACAAATTCGAGATTGCCATGAATTAACAAACGTCCAAACCTGCTGCCAAGTTTAACAGCTAGAAAATCGACCTATTATTTCTCCCATTCCCATTCGCTGAGGGGATAACGGATTGTCAAATGTAAACTTATAACATAAATCAAAATACATGAAAGTTGTTCTGTTTTTTCTGTACAAAAGCATCATGTTGAATTCAAAAAGTGGTCTTGTTTATAATACAGTCGAATTTTCACGATTTTATTCAATACTTTAATAGAAATCACTGATATTCAGAAACATTTGACAGCTTCTGTCAAATTGCATTTCGATAAGGTATTTTCCCGTTGGTCCATAATATAAATGTTGGTGAAATTGGGGCTGAGATAATTATTTAATTTGTGTATACCACGAATTTCAGTTTTCATTTGAAATAAGTATGTTTTCTTCTTTGTTATGGAGTATACTCTTCAAAAATATATATGTCATATCTATTCGCTGATGGGCGAAAAATGGCTCTTATCAGCCCACCTCCTTTGCACATGTAATTTCCAGAATGAATGGGAAAAAGTGGATGCGCAACTAATTTCTAGCTTTGAATCTCAAGTAAGTGTGGAATTATCATCAACACAACATATTATTAGCACACAAATCCTGACTATGCACCTATGCATTGCCGTTACCTTCAGCAATGCCATCTCGGGAGCAGATCTAACATCACATCCGAGACAAACATTGATAACTGAAGCCTCATGACGTTTAGGCAACACTTATAACTACAAAACGAGTTCCCAACGTGTCCATCAGCTAGTGCTAATTTAACGATCTTGTAGAAGTACCTGCATAATGTCACAAAAGACCAATATAATGTCAAAAAGAATCAACATTAGGTCACTTTTCAAGTTACGTAGTACCCGTGCCGGTAAGACATCCCCTTCCATAACTCCAGAAACTTAGTGATTTCCAATTCTTTCTCTCATAAGTCTAAGCATTTCACGTATGTCTTGTCTTAAGTCATCAAAACTGTCATATACGCAATACTTCTAAACATGAAGAGTCAGTAGTAACGCTAGAAGTACATGTCACCTTATTCGAAAGTCGTCTGAATTTCCTTGTGTTGATAGTTATATTGGACAGCTTTTCGTACAATGAATTCTTTCTGTATTCAATTTAGGGTGTCTGCGATGGTGGTCTGAATAGTTTCCGGCCTCAACGTGAAGATGACAGTACTCGTAAATAAAAGCTAGTGAATTCCATTGTTTATATGTTGACAGTTACTCACCAAAGTTTCAGATATTTTGGAAGCGCACGTATTAAATCAACATTTAGGCATTGGAAAGCTGTCCGCGCGCTGCTTGCCGCGTTTGCTCACGTTAGACCAAAAACGTGTCCGAATGAACATTTCCAACACTCTGTTGGCGCAGTTTTGGCGCAATAAATCCGAATCTTTTCGCCGATAATTTCTGTAGATATGGATACACCATTATACGCCAGAAAGAAAAATAGAGTCCAAATAGAGAACTGTAAAGAAGGAACCGGCTCTAAAAAAGCAAAAACTGTTTTCTTTCGCATAGAGTTATTTTAATCGATTATCTTCTGAAAGGAAAAATCATTACAGGAACATACTACGCATCA